TTTTCTATCAAAGTGCTCAACGGCGAAGAAACAGTGGGCCATCTACCACGCGAATACTCGAGAATAGCATGGTATTTTCTCCCTCGTGGAGGATCAGTTACCCCTAAAAGTAACAGGCCGTTGTCGACATTGTAAACAACTTTTTGGGGAGTGGATATTCCATGCTGTGTCACGCCGTTCTCTGTTAGTGAACGAAAAATATTTAACGGCAAGAAATGTAAGCTTGAAATAAGCTAACACTTATCACCAACGGCTCTTTTAGGGGCCACCAAACTTGCAAAATTAAAGCAATGACCAGTACTCTCTTGTTGTTGTAATGTAGTATTTATTCCAGTATTGTTCCATAAAAATGTCCATTAACGGAAATTCACAGGACCTTTTCCAAATGGTCTTGCAGATAAGCCGCACCTGCGATTTTGATCGAAATGTTTTGGAAAAAATGTGCGGCTTATACGCTTATAACTTTAATTTTCAGTGGACAAAAATCTTGTACCAGAATATTTTTAAGCCATATCGCATTCTTTTATGCACTTTTCAAGAGATACAGATATAATTAGTTATCTGTAATAACACCAAAGACAATTTCTTATGGGAACTGAGAAAATAAATTTCAAATTTCACAGGAATTGAGGAAACACAGGTAAAATCATCATGCGCAAGATTTCATTCAATTTCCTAATGGATTCCACTTTAAAGTTTTCAACGGTTGTTTAGTTGAACCGTGAATTTTATTGGTCCGTGTGCAAAAAAATTTGAGAAGATTTTGTTTTCCAAAAACGTTGTGATTGGATAAATCTTCTTCAAAGTGCCCCGGTTCGAGTAGTAGAACTGTAATAAAATTACTTTCATTACAACCTAGCTTGCTACTTTTCTACTTCTACTGTCCTTTGATATACTCTCTCTCTTTTTACATCTATTCTAAAATGATTAGTTGAACAATGCTCTAAAAGATAACGTGATAATCGACAACTTTCTGGTGATAAATGTAAAATGTCTATGTGAACCAGAACGTTAATCGATCATTAAGCCTTTTGGAATAGAAGAAAATTTCAGTCGGACATAACCGTTAAATTACCCCCGCTGCAGTATTTCGGAAATACTGTTTTATCTAAAATTAGTGGCTGCAAGTGTTTTTGACCAATTGACCAGTTTCAAAAATATTAATCTGCTTTAAAGTAATGAGGATCAGTAGATCATCTGATTTACGTTGTAATTAATCCGGAGCACATAAGGAAAACGAAGGGTTAATCAAACCACATTTACCATTTAAAGGCTGTGAAACAATCGCAAGCCCAGGATAAAGAAACTTTGAGTTAGCAATATGACGAAAAACAAACCTCTAAAGTAATTAAGTACGACACCGCCGGATAAGAAAACCCACTTTACCACTTTGTGTAAAAAAGGGGAACATAAGTCCCCACTTGCTGAAGTGAGCTGCTGTGTCGTCAACTCGGGGACAGAGGTACACTGAGAGAAACACTGCCAAATGCCTACAGACAAATATAACAAAAATTGACAAAGAAGATAAAAGTTGGGTGCTCGAATAGATGCTGACCTAGATTGGTTCGAATTTGCAACGAACAACCAAACATATCTCAGAAGGCTACCCACAATTCAACCTAGCCAACCCAATCCTCTGGTCCGTGCCGACAAAATCTGAGATAACCAAATTTCATTACCCATGGAGCTCCGCTATAAATTACACGAAAAGGTCAGTCTTTGATTGACCAAAGCATGTCCATTCGCCTTACTTACTTAATTTGTTGCCTTACTTATTTACCTGTTTTGTTTTTTTTTGTATTCTAATCATAAAAAGAAACAAGATTATAAAAAAGAAAAAAAGTGATAATGAAAGAATTACGTACAAAGGAAAAAATATAGCTGTAAAAGGCTTGTCCATAGGAAGGTTAAACCCCATACTAGGCAGAACACCAATATTAAATTTAAAACCTACATCCCTGACTCAGCAAAAAAATGAGTGAACAAACAAACAAACATTAAAAAACAAAAGCCCAAACAAAACACCGTAACTATTTAATATTAAAATATCAATTATTATTAGCCAATGTATTTTGTTTTCTTTAAGTTACTAAAAGCTATTATATCTTCCCTTTAGGTGTCAAGTAAGCTTGTAGCTTGTTCCAGGCATGGCCTCCTCAAGCGAAACAGACATACCACATCGACGGTGGTTGGTGGTTGGCACTGTTCTCAACAGAGTTCTCATGCCATATCTCAGAATGAAGATTCAACAGGAAATGATTCCATTTTACCAAACTCTGGTTGCAAATTTTGGTATAGACAAGCAAACTTATCGCTCTCACCAGAAAACTTTTCCTACAAGTGCGATAAGGCTGAACTACGAAAGCATCAACGGCAATGACATGTTTCGAGACCCGCGTTGCTATGACTATCGTGTACAGGATGAAGTGTCTTTGGCTAAGTTGTTTATGAGGTCTCACATGGCACATTTCAAAGCATTCGATAGTTCTTTTGATGCTTCAGCAGCTCTTGCTGTTCTTTGCTCTGCTCCACCATTCACGTCTGCGAAGTTGTCTGCTGAACGTGTGAGATCTGAAGTACGAAATGAATGGGCCCATTGTGACTATGCATCATGGACAGACGTGAAATACGACAGATGCTTTGATCTAATGAAAACCTTGGTTGAAGACCTGGGACTTGCTCCAGCAGATGAAGAAAAGCTCCTGGGTAAACTGCAGTTGTGGAGGGAACATGGTAAGATATCAATACCCACATTTTGATCATACAGTATAGCGTTGAACAATATATATTTCAGCGGGTGGTTCTCTGGAATAAACCATAGAATTTCTGGAGATTCATGTCCTCAGCGTCTTGTGGTGACGTTTTTCACTTTACGCCAATATTCAAATCATTAAAATTGGACTATTCAAAAATAATATAGGTTTAGCAAAGTTGGAAAACAGAGCTCCAGCTGGTTAATTTTCACTGCCCTTTTTTTCACTAGATTTCACCGAAGGTTGTTGGGGAGTTTATTTACAGAAACGTAGGGATCGGTTACCATTTGCAAAGAGGGGGATTATCCAACTTTTTGAGCTAAATTTTACGAACGAATGTCGTTAAGGATTGAGCAAAATTAAAAATGGACAAACAAAACCTTCCCTCATACTTTGTGCGTAGTTAGTACTTCAGATGGAATTGCCCACTGTGGCATTTGTTCGACTTCTAACAAAAACCTGCACTGGGCATCAGGGAGGGAAGTTTGGCCAAAAATTGCTTTTTTGGGACAATTTTCTCCTTGAAAATTGGAGTTTTGTTAGGTGAATAGTTCAGAAAGCAGACTAACAGTTAAAAATCTGTTTACATGATAGCAAAATATCACCCTTCCTCTCAACAAAAATGTTATCATTTTTCCTCTAGCCAACCCCCCCCTGACGGCCCCTGTTCATTGTCATTTACAAATGGGGGAACGTTTTTTGACAAGGCTTAAAAATAAACATTTTTGAAAACATTTTTTTCTTACTTTTTTTCTTACTAGCACCCCGATTTAGATCAAAATTGAAACAGGATGTAAATATTTCACTCTTTGTGAACCATTTCATGCTTAAAAATCCGCGGGCACTCAGTACATTTTTGCATGCCAATCAAATGAAAATGTATACCTGAGACAAAATAGTAAATTTTTGCAACTTTTGTTCGCCGCCATCTTTCTTTCAAATAAAGTCATTGGGGCAGTGTTTAGCAAGAACGTTGGATGGCTCGTATAGATTGCATTCCTTTACGTTTTACAGTCCGTTACCGAGCAGATTAACGATTTTTGTTTTACAAAAATTGGCGTCGTGTGGTTGGCGGCTAATTTATGCAAATTACTACCCGCGATATAACTTGGCAGCAAAATCCAATAGGACAATTGCACGATGACGACATTTGACTAAAACTACCAGAATTCAATTCGGTTTTGCTTTGTTATTTAAATTTGTCAATCCCGCTGAGGATTAAGGAACAATAGCCTTAATTTGCACAAGAAAACAACAAACTCAAGGATTCTGGTAGTTGTAGTAAAATGACGTCATCGTGCAATTGTCCTATTCGACGTTTTCCAGCAAAATAAATCGCTTCGATGGGATTATTAATAGATAACTGAAACATTAAATACCATTAACAAAGCAATCAATGCGTGACTGCATTTCAGAGGCAAAGTCAAATCACAGACAAGTCACGGTTCGATTAGGTCTCATCCCCCGGGTCTCATCCACCATGTAGTAATGCATGTCGTCGCATTCAGATCCATTCCCTCATCTTCAGTGCATATCTACAGGGTTCCTTTCACACTGGCATCCTGCCATATTACTGCAGCTGCTTATGATGGGCAGACACAACACACTGTCTTCAAGGTAATGTATCTTAGTCACGCAATGTGTTACGTCACAAGCGCAGCACTGATTTTATAATTCTTCTTTCCTCTACATAAATATTAGAATCTTCATGAATTTGTGTTTCATTAAGCATAAAATCAGAAAAACAGTGTACCCCTCCTATGTAGATTTAGAAAGAAAGTGCCATTTTATCTGTTCGGTTGGACAGCTTGCTGATCAAAAAGTTTCAAAACCGACTTGTCTTCCTGAATTTGTATGAAGGCCTTGCTCCTAAAGAGAACAAGCCAACAAGGCCAAATTGAATTACCACCGGAGTCGACGAAACTGAAGTTTGAGTCATGCCAAATTTTTGGAGGCACTTTCGTGTTTGTGTCATGCAAGGTGGGAGACTAAGAGGGAGAAGCTTATTTAGTCGCACATCTTTACATTTTTTGTCCTAACTTTGTGAGATTATTTGACGCAGCGTGGCCAGTCACACAATACGTTTTACGCTCTTTATCGTTTTATGCTTGGTATCTACTGTATGACTGTGAGCGGGTCCTGTAAGGGAAAGCGGGTTTTGCTAAATCCCTGACACAAGAGTTTGCAGCACAATTTGCGCAAAAAGAGACTGGGCACTATTATGCTTCGCTTGCAAAGCGACTTGCAAAGCAGATATTTCTTATGACCACTGCACCAAAGTCGTTCCTCAAGTAACATACAAGCTTTATTCTTAATGCCAATTTAGGGAGCATGAAACAATTTTGAAAAATGCTAACGATTTGTTTAGTTAAGCTCATTTCAATTCTGCTTAATTATAAAGTAAAAGGTAATTTTTTATAATGAATTAAATTACCACGGGATGTTCGTGGGAAAGCCACGAATAAATTATATTTCTTTGAAAAAAAAAAGAAAAAAAAGTAAAAACACCCGGCTGACATTATGCTAAGCCTACTTAAATTCTTTTTGTCTTTCACCTTGCATGAAACCGAAGTGCCGCCAAAAAATTCTGACTCGGACTTCACTTTTGTCGTCTCCTCCTACTGATAAACGATGGAAAATTTTTTCACATTAATTTCACCTTGTTCAGTGTATAGGAGCAAGGCGTCTTTAGGAATTTAGCAAAGACTGAAGTCCCGGGGGTTCTCAACAAAGTTTTATAAAGGAACGCTCTGCCCCGCGGTGCAAACACATACCCTTTTATCGTTTTTTGACAGAAAAGGTACCCCTTCGTATACCTTCTGTTGGCAATGGTACCCTTTCACGTGCCTAGTTTAGAACTTTGCATCACTCAACTGCTGTAAATGCACTGCCTTTAAAATATGAATAAATCACAAAACCAGACCGTTTACTCAGCTCTTTTTACAGCCATAAAATGCATCTGTAAGCCCTTTTTGGGCTTTTTTACCAACCGAAATGTCAGTTTTCCCTATCCTTTCATATACTTCAACAAGTGGAATCCCAACCCTCTCATGTACTTAAAACCTGAAAATGATACCCCTTTCGGGTGGAGCCCCTCAGTATAGGCCATTTTAGGGAGCACCCCGCGGGGTTCAAGTCGGCTTTGAATTTTGTATATGTCAAGTTAAGTCAAGTCAATTTTTATTTAAACTCACACAGAATAATAATTAATACCAAGAGAGGATAAAGGGGAAGGAGAAGTCATCCCCCATACACACCCTATTCCATAGGTAATTCGTCTTGAGTTATTTTTAGAATCGGGATAAAGTTACCTCGCACGCTGCGTGGATGTTTCGTGGAGGGTTTCGCATGACTAAACGCCACGCAAAACATGTCGGGCGAAAGGCAATGAAAGCGTAAAGAGATCGAGAGCATTTCTGAATATTGAAGCGAAATGAGTTGGCGCTCACCTGGGAAAAGCGAATCGCTCAACTCTTTGACAACCCGTGAAATCAGTTTAACTCGAAGTTATCGTAACCTCAGTGCTTTAATAATATATAGATTTAGCCAGGGCTAAAAGCGAAGCTCTCGTTAATAAATTTGTAATTTAAATAAAACAATAAACTTGTATTCCACAAATCAGTAAACTTTAGAGCACATTTATATACTTTTGAGGGAAAGGTTAAGTGATTTTAGAGGAAAATAATTTGCAAACAGCCCAAGAGTGAACCAAATCTTAAATCGAGTTGATAGCCTTATATGTACACCCAAAAAATAGCAATCATCTTCGATCACATTTAAGAGCCGCAATGGCTCTTGATCATAGTAGATTAGGCCTGGAAACCAAATCCTTGGAAAACAAATCAGGCCGAATTTATTTGCGTTCGACAAGTTTGCTTTACAAAATCCGGGGCTAACAAATCTGGGGGCGTGTAAACTAACCTATTATATTTTTTATACATCACATCTGAGGTGAAACAATACTATGAGGCACTGTTTTTATCATACAGCCCTCGGACAGCACTAGTTCACAATTTTGAAACACAAATTGCATTCATTCAATATTCAGGACGATCGAAGCACACGAGGGCTTTTAGCGAAACGGCTTAAAAAAATCTCAATTCAAAATCACCTATACGGCCAGCCGGTTGCGAGCTGTGAAGTGTTTGAATGAACATTAATAGAGCAACCATTCAACATAACAAAGAATTTATCATGTTTATTTTTTATTTAGTGGTTTTATAACGATGTGCAATCTTCAAAAGCGTTTGATACGCGCGGCGTTTTGAGTACTCCTGCAAGCGATGTTCATGAACGACTGAAAACAAACGGCACAGCGATTAAAAATTGCAAGAGAGACTACTGACAATCCATAAAAGAAATATAATTCGGTGAAACATGTACAGAGACAATAACTTTCATTCACGAAGACAATAGTATTAAAGTGTCTCTAAAAATCCTGAGTCTTCAAACTTAAAACTTAAAGTTTATGTTTTAAGCCGGCTTCCCGGTGTTTGCTTTTTTCAAAGATGAACTCGAGGCAAGAAAATCGCTCAAGCTTTCGTTTACAGCCAGAATTATAACAAAATTTTCTTTGGAACGTTGTCTTTCTATTTGAGGTGAGAAAATGTATAAAGGCTTTTAAAAGTTCTGTAAGCTTATACCAAACCTGATACTAGGTCAGATCATTTGTCTCAAATCTTACAAACGTGCATAAACTAAATAGCCGCATAAACTACGCTCGACTTCATTAAATAAGATATTAAAGACAAATATCAGATACAATAATTACTCAGGCTTACCATTCGAGATGCAGTTCCTGGAAGCTATGAAGTAAGGCCAAAATCGCTTCAGACTTTTCAACCCTCTTACGCATCAAGCAAGGTGAAAAACGAAAATGATGCCATCCGAAATCGGATTTGCGACTTTGACAAGCGACGTATTTCACAAGCAAAAACCCGATAAACAAACTAGCCTTGAATAACAGAAGACTCTTGATAGCAGCTGAATTTCATTTTGTACAATGTTCAGTGGAAAAAGACAGTTAAAAACATCACAAGTTGACACAAAACTCTGTCAGCTTCAGCTGTCAAAGTAAACAAGTTTCAAGTTGCTGCATAAATTTTCCGCATGAACTCACCTGTCAAATTTTGACCAATCAGAGCATAAAAACTGGACGTAGAGCGTGATCAACGCGTGACCTTGGTGAGAAAAGTCAAAACAACTGGCATGTCTTCCCTGTCTGTAAAAACTGGCTGAATCTTAGCTTCTGAGGTCAGTTTGAAATCAAAATGTTAATTGTGCGGCACATATAAAACACAACATATTTCATATGAATTAAAAAATTAAACTTGAGCCTGCAATCATTTGAAAACTAGTAACTTGTCAGCGGATAACTGCAAAAATACTCGATCTCGATGGGTCGACACCCGAGCCTGCGATACGGTCAGGTGATACTGGTCAGCGGATACCCTGTTTTGACAGCTGTCCTTTGATCACAACATTGATGTGCAATATGTGTGCAATATCAGTCTTCCTGTGCTCCCAAACTAGCTAGAAAGTGTGGGATTGAACATTGGTTGCCCTGTGGTGCGGACGGACGGGCAGCGGGCGGGCGGTGTACGGTCACGTGATTACCAAATTTTCTGGGATGGGTAGATTTACTTACCCATGGTGCTCCGCAGGCGCGCTTCGCGCGCCAGAGCTCCGCTAAAATGAGACATTTCGCCGGTCTATTGAAACCGGTCCTTTGTACAATAAACCAAGTAGCAAGTAATATTCATGTACATGTAATTAGTTGTACAAATTTTAATTTTATTGTAGTTTTTTTAAGTTGTTAAGCGCTGTTGATCAGTGAATGTAAATAGCGCTCTAGAAGTTATTAAATTATTACTATTATAGGACACCAAGTGTTATTTTTTTTGAATAATAAAAGACTGATAAACGAATAAATATCAAACCAGAAATTGCTCTCTTCAAATTGTAAATTATAAATGATCCTGAGAGAATATTCACTGTGTTAAGGATTTCCCTGCTGTACTGTTAGCTCTATACAAGAGAGGAAGGGCGATTCTTTTTTTAATTTCCGTTTCGCTGACACAGCTTTAGCAGAAATCTCTCTTTAGTCGTTTTCGTCGACAAAACGAATAGCAATATTGCTCTCCGCGTCTTCCGCCATTTTTTTCTGCCTCAATTCGTGGAGGACGCGTGGCTCTGGGCGTGGGTCATCCACACGGAACACATTCGCGCTATGTGATTGGCTGTTGTCTAATCCCCCTTGGGATCTGTGGTCTTAAAAATAACTGGAGAAGAATTACCTATGGAATAGGGTGTGTATGGGGGATGCCTTCTTTGTCCCCTTTATCCTCTCTTGTTAATACAAATTAGTGCTTTAAAATATAAAAATCCAGAGATTGTAAAGGAAAGAAAATTTCAATTGTAGGTTCAATGGCAGAAACTAACCGAGCAGGTGACCCAAACAAGAATATGAGTGGAATGAATATAGATACAAGTTAGTTGTTTTAGATAAAAAGAATTTACTTCATTAATTAAATAGTATTATAACATAGCTAGAAAATTCCCCTAATCAAATTCAATAGCGCGAGCGTGCTTCATGTTGACGTCAATAAATTATTCGTAATTCCTCGAGTTGTTGTGAGCTTAGCAATCCTGAGTCTCTTGAGTGCATCCATAACTCGGCCGTACACGATAAAGCGTTTACCATGTGTTTTAGATGGAAATTTTCAGAGGAAACGTTTGAATTTGTTAACCGATAGTAAGGAAAAGAGGTGAGTGTTCTTGTTGTTGTTGTTATTGTTGTCATCTCCGCGAGCTGTGCGGGCTATGGCGTGAGATCATTCTTTGCAAAGTTGTTTTCTCTCAATAACAATTTTTCGGTGAATTAATAGTTTTCCGGCACCTAAATATGGATGCAGACTGCAGACTGCAGACTGTGCAGTCCGACTGTTATTTTTTTTACTTGTACCTTAATTTTCTAGTAAAATTTTTACTATAGTTTCCCGAAGGAGGGAGCACGATGGAGGAAGGTAAGCTGTTTCTTTCTGTAACTGTATTATATTGCCACGATTATTTAAATTTTTTTAGTTGAAGAAGCTTTTTCAGGTTAAGTGACTTAAAATAAAACCCTTTTCGGCTTCCTACAACGGCTATGAGAGAGGCATTTCCTCTTGAGAATCGAATAAAAAAAATACATAAACAAAAGTCTTACCCTAATCTTCCGAGCTAACAACGATAACATCGGTATCTGTAAGATTTGAAGAAATGACGGCAAGTCACCAGTTTGAATTACAGAGCGAAACCAAAGACGATCATCAACAATCAAGTAAATTGATGAAATTTCTATCTCGTAACCGTGGTAGGAAGCCGAAAAGGGTTTTATTTTAAGTCACTTAGCCTGAAAAAGCTTCTTCTACTAAAAAAATAAATAATCGTGGCAATATAATACAGTTACAGAAAGAAACGGCTTACCTTCCTCCATCGTGCTCTCTCCTGCGTGAAAGCGCCGCAGCTAAAAGCAAGCGAAACTGCTTTTACATCTGCCGGTAAACATGAGCCCGTGATTTTCTCATTTCCTGCCCATGACCCTTGCAGGTACACATCAGTGCACATATGATGGTGGTGATGCACAGTGCACATAATGAGAGGAAGCAGGAAACTATAGTCAAAATTTTACTAGAAAATTAAGGTACAAGTAAAAAAATAATACTCAGTCTGCACAATCTGCACAGTCTGCACGGTCTGCACGGTCTGCACAGTCTGCAGTCTGCATGGTCTGCGTTTCAACATGACCGACTCTTACGTCTCTTTCGTGTTCTCCAAACTTCCTGCGTGCTCAATATCTCGACATTGCCTAGTCCATAGGCCTCATTTTTATGCGAGACCGATGCGTTTTGGGTCACGTGGTCCGAGAAAGTTTTTGATCGGCCCAGACAAACTCGGAGAAGTGAGGTTTTTTCTCACTTGGGGCGGAGCTTTTGGAAGCGGGCGAGCTGTCAATAACTTTTCCGCGCTGATGAAAGATGTCCTGCGGCCATGGAGAGTACAGAGGAACGAGCATTTTTTATTGTATGCACGTTTTCATTGTTGAAAGTCGTTTTGCCTTTCTTTTTCATTTATCTCATTAAACTAATTTGAAATTTATTTCATCTCAAAAACTATTTTTAGGCTAAGCAAACCAGCGTCACAAAAAAACTATTTGATCAAGAATCGGAAGGTAAGCTAAAGAAATAAGTTTATATTTATTCTTGGATATGACAAACGATCTTTCGTTTCTCTATTTTCGCTTGCTCTTATAAATTGCTCGTTATCATTTCACATCGAAATACTTTATGTAATTTAATTTTTGTATTTGGAAGCTTATCAAACTAATCGGACAGGCTGTTGAATTTGGTCTCTAAATTTGGTAGAATGTCAACAAACTACTGTTTCAAATCTTTTTATCAATAAAGTGGTTCATTTGAAGATAGACTAAAAGAGAAATTACTTGCACGTTATACAGTAGTATTCTTTCCAATTCAAAGTAATATTTTATAATATTGTTCTTTTATAACACGACCTAGGTTAGTTATTTTTGTTATTGTGCCAATAGTGCCGATCTTTAGCGAAGGATACTCACGCGCAAAGTTATTTATAGATTATTTCAGTTGACCGTGTGAACTTTCCAAAAATGCAAAAATGCTCACGCATGCGCACTCCCAGATTGTCGAGGCGTCTCCCGGCCGTTCGTCTCGGATACGTCACCGAAATGCATTGACCGAGAGGGCCTGAAAAGACGCCGTACAGGGACTAGGCAGATCTCGACATACGCACGCTGCCGCATGAACTAATTGTTAAGTTAAAGGTAATACTAGAAATACGTATCTCGCAATACCCTCGCGAAACTCGGTTTGTTAACGGCACTCAAGTTAAGCCCTGTCGGTCGGGGTTAAGAACTGGATGGGTGACCAACCACGAATATCATCTTAAAGGTCCATACGTTGTTCTTTCCTTTCTTCTCCTTCTTTTTTGCGTTTTATGTGGTGTTATTGTTAACAGTGTATTGAAAAGCAGATTTAGCATTATTTCGGCGTCCGGATTTGGAAAAGGACAAAAACAAAGAACAAATATGGCCCGGTGCAGTTCGCCTGAAAATTATTATTCTTCGGGCCGTAATACAGAGCTGAAACTTTGCAGACTTTGATCTACACATATCGGCGGGGATGGGTTTTCGACAGTGAACGATCATAATGCCTCTGATTCCAATCTCCTGTTCCTCTGTCTCTTGTTGTCGGCGCTGCCTTCGCTGTGCTAAGCGATGTTCCTTCTGCTCCGCGGTTTCTTGTTGACGTCTTCTTCTTCGTCGTTCATGCTGAATTTGAAGTCGGCGATCTCGCTCCAGGGGACTTTCGGTGGAAAATCTTTCTGGGCGAGGATTTGGAGCCACTTGTTGTGCTTGTGTGTCATTTGCATGGGAAATTGTTCGTGATTCACCGATGGTAAACTTTCCGGTCAGTATAAAACATGGACTGCGGACTGCGCACCTCGGACTGCCGACTGGGTATAAAATACGGACTAGGTATAAAATGGGGACTCCGGACTGAGTATAAAACACGGACTAGGTATAAAACGCGGACTACGGACTATGACGACTTTAAAAAGGTAAAACTGAGAGAAATGGAAAGCGAACTAGCAAAAACAGTAGTCCCAGCTTTAACATTCCCTTTGCTGTTCACGTACTCTATTCTTCCCACGGAAAAGAAAGGTCATGCCGGTACTCAAGGCAACTGAAATTAAACTCTGAATTTTATAAAAAGAGGGAGTTAGAAGAGATGTCAATTTGCAGTTTTAAGCACCGAATTTAAAAAAATAGTGCTGGTGTTAGTGAGATCAGTAAAATTCTTATCGGATGCCATAATTCCGTTTCAAATAAAGCCTTGGGAATACGAGGACTGAATGAAGAACTCAGACGAGAAGGTCAATATAGGGGCATTCCGCGATGCACAAAAGCAGTATTTAGGGGGAAGGGATTACTCTCATACGTGAATAATAACCGAAATGAGTCATCCAACGTTATATTCTAAGCGATGATTATGATGGCATGATTTACACCCTGCTCCTGATCCCCGGACGGTGGTACTACTGGGAATTCTTGGTGGGGGTGTGGTGCCCGGTTCTCCGAATCCTGACCTTATTGCAGACCAAAAAATGTCATTTTCCACATCCGTTTTCAGACCAGATCTCTGAAATCCATACCCATGGCCTAATTTAGCCTGTTCCAGGCTCTCTCAGATAGTTGGGGAAACTCCCCAGTTTTGTCCCGTTTTCTTTTCGTGGCTTTCTCAATTCAGCGGACCCAACTATCTCAGAGCGTGGAACAGTTTAGGTCTAATTAGGCAGAAATTATGTCATCATAATAAGAGTAAGAGGGGAAACAAAAAAGTTCTCCAAATGCATTTCGAATTCGCACATTTCTATTTCGTTCTTATTCATTTGGAATTGAAACGATAAATACGTCCATTCATGTACGCTCCCGAAGTTCCCTCGAAAACCATACCCGATTCCACACCAAAATGGGCAAAGTGTTTTCAGACCAAAAAGGCCCCAAGCCTCTACCCTTCCATTATATAATGACAATGACAATGACAATGCTTTATTTATTTGGAGTCTTATACAGTCCTATGTACATTGACTTCATCCAAATAATTCAGAATCATAACACAAATTGCACACTAAGGGAGTACCACCCCAGATCCTGACCCCTTTCATGATTTTTAGAGACCGAGACAAGGTCTAAAAATGGGTGAAGAAAATAGCATTTTGATCCGGGTCATGATTCAGAGAACCGAGCGGCCCACCTACACCAAGACTGATTTATAGGAGTATTTACAACTTTAACTCACGTGTCTTGCTATTTAGCGATCTTTTGATCTTATTTTTCCTTACCTAGAACCAAATAGCACCGTTTTTACCAAAGTAGTCCGTAGTCCGTATTTTATACCCAGTCCGCAGTCCGCAGTCCGCGTTTTATACCTTGTCCGTGTTTTATACCCAGTCCGTGTTTTCCAGTCCGCCTTTTTTACCTAGTCCGTTTTTTATACCCAGTCCGCAGTCCGTAGTCCGCAGTCCGCAGTCCGCAGTCCATGTTTTATGCTGACCGGTAAACTTTCATTCACAGACGATCATCGGCGGCGAAGTCTATGTTGCCTGGAAACGCAAAATGCTCCATGACGTCATTGGCGGACACCAAGCATACATTCAGAGAAAGAAAGATTTATTTATGAAGCCTCGAATTTCGCAGCTGGCTAAGACCACGCGCGGTTAGCAGACTGCGTGCGCACTTCGCGCGCGACAAGATTATAAAGAATAATCGTAAAACATTAAAAATCAATAATAGTATTTTAACCATCAGTCATAGAATTCTTGATATATTGTCCAATTCAAACAGGTTAAACAGCACTTTCAGAAGGGTATAAGTCTAAATAAAATGGGGTTCACTCTGTTTTTCTGACATTATACTTAATAAAACTTTCATGAACTCTTGAAGATTTTAATACTCGTACAGTAGAGGAAAGAAGAACTGTATCATAAAATAATGACCTCAAGGGTATTGCTTAGGACGTGACACATTGCGTGACTAAGATACGTTACCCTGAACAGTCTGCTGGAAAATTGCAAGACAATCCAAAAGAGGGCCCTTCGCCGCTACCTTTTCTTCCGCGGAGAAGAAAATTAAGTCTTTCTATAACCAGCTGCAGTAAATTGGCAGGTTGTCAAAGTGAAAGGAAACGTAGAGGTGTGCATTGAAGTTGGGAAGATGAACGAAGGAGTTTCAACGCAACGACATGCACGGATGAGATCTAACGGTAACTTGTGAGTGATGATTTCACTTTGGCTCTGAAATGTTTCTCGCATTGATTGCTTTGTTAATGGTATTTAATGTCACAGTTTTCTATTAATAATCCCATCGAAGCGATTTATTTTGCTGGAAAACGTCGAATTAGATTTTCCTGCCAAGTTATATTACGGGTAGTAATTTGCATAAATTAACTGCCAACCACACGATGCCTGTTTATGTAAACCAAAAACCGTACATCGGCTCGATAACTGACTGTAAAACGTAAAGGAATGCAATCCATAAGAACCATCCAACGTTCTTGCTTAACACTGCCCCAATGACATTGCTTAAAAGAAGATAGCGGCGATCAAAAGTTACAAAGATTTACTATTTTGTCTCAGGTATACATTTTAATTAGACTGGCACGCAAAAATGTATCAAGGGCCCGCGGATTTTTAAGCATGAAATGGTTCACAAAGAGTGAAATATTTACATACTGTTTCAATTTTGATCTAAATCAGAGTGCTAGTAAGAAAAAATGTGTTCAAAAATGTGTTCAAAAATGTATATTTTCAAGCCTTGTCAAAAAACGTTTCCCCCCCTTGAAAATGTCAATGAACAGGGGCTGTCAGGGGTTGGGGGCTAGAGAAAAATTGATAACATTTTTATTGAGAGGAAGGACGATATTTTGTTATCATGTAAACAGATTTTTAACTGTTAGTCTGCTTTCTGAACTTTTCACCTAACAAAACTCCAATTTCAAGGAGAAAATTGTCCCAAAAAATGCAATTTTGGGCCCAAACTTCCCTCCCTGATCCCTAGTGCAGGTTTTTGTTAGAAGACAAACAAATGTCACAGTGAGTAGTTTCATCTGAAGTACGAACTACACACATAGTATGAGGGAAAGTTTTGTTTGACCATTTCCAATTTTGCTCAATCGTTCAATTAGCGACATTCGTTCTTAAACATCTGTGAGCAACGTTAGGTATTTTCTGTACTGACGATGATCCGTTTCGTTGTGAATTTAACTTAATTGTTTTTTATAGGGATCTAACCTGCGTAGCAAACTCTATTTTGATGTAATTTGAATCAAAACCTCTTCCAGAGGAGTATTCATTTTTTTTTTACCGGTCTTGTCTTTCTGTTTAGAATAATGGTAATTGAGTAGGCTAGTGTAGGGGTTTACTCGTAAGATTTGCTAATGGCCTATCTAATGACTGCTTGTCTGTTCTCATTCTGCGTAGGATTAGAATTCTGTGTTGGTAAGCCCCTTTATGACTCTTACCTTCATGTGATACGCGATGAAGTTCAAGCGCTCTCTGGGTCATTACCTGATTTGCTAAAGTGTCACTTTGACAAAATTCAAGCAATGTTTTGTCAAGTGATCAGAGGCGGGCACGAAAAAACACTGACGAGCCAAGATCTGGGACCAAGAGCTTCTGGCTCCTTTAGCGAAAACGTGGATAACAGTGGTGTTGCTACGAACTGCAAATCGAAAGTGTTTGATGCGCCAGATCGAAACAAGTGGTTTACAGGGAGACAAGTAGAGATAGAATCGCTTGAAGGGTGCCTTGCGTTGAAAAACAGCGACCACCACTTTAGATCGGCTGCTATTTGTGGCCTTGGTGGATGTGGAAAAACGACTTTAGCAGCTCAATTTGCTTGGGAACATAAACCAGAATACGAGGGAGGTATATTTTGGATCTCAATGGAGGATGAGAAGAAGTTTGACAGTTGTGTTTATTACCTGGCATTATGTTTAGGACTGATTACGATGGCAGATTCATCAGATTATACACTGCAACAAATTCTTTCGTTTATATCCAATCAAAAAAAGCGCTGGCTAATGGTACTTGACAACGTCGACCAACCACGACTTTCTGATAACATGCGTATAGTTTTATTTGGAAGGTGGAAAAGAGAGTCAAATGGCCATATGATAATAACAACAAGACGGGAAAAAAAAGAAATTTGTCAGTGGATGGATCTTGAGCCACATTTTTGTGTAGAAGTCTTCTCTTTTTCTACCCAAGAAGCAAAAAAGTTTCTTTTAACTCGTGCTGGGCATGGTGGTAACAATGCTGCACGCCAGGAGAATGAGCTAGATGAACTGGTGGATGAGCTTGGCTGTCTTCCCCTTGCTTTAGAGCAGGCTGGTGCGCACATCCGGTCGCTTCAGTGCCCTTTAAGTAAATATCTGGAGCAGTACAAACGCGAACGGTTACAGTTGTTGAGCGAGCATCAAGCAAATCCCTCCTGGGAATACGAGTCTCAAAGTCGTCTTTCAGTCCACACTACATGGCTATTAAACTTTGAGTATGTGAAGACCTCAAAGTATGGAAAAATAGCAACCAGATTTGTACATGCAGCTGCTTTCTTTGATCCGGATGAAATATACGAAGGACTTATTAATGCAGAGCTGCTTTCTCGTGACGTTCTAGATGGAAAAGAAGGGGAACTCCCTCTCACGAATAGCCTCATAGTAGAAGTTTTGACCAAGTTTTCACTTTTCCAGAGAAAGTCTGTTGGATTTATTAGAATACATCGCTTGGTGCAGGAATTTATTCGTGGTACAATGAAATCGGAAGAAATCACAAAGGCAGTGCTCACTTCATTTCAGCTGATAAAGAATGCCGCTTCGCTGGACAGTGAATCGGCGACCGATAAATCTGTTTTCTCCACTATCCGTCACTGGCTGTCATTAAAGAGACATATAGCGCACCATTTGTCTCATTTTGGACATAAACTGGATGTCTTATTGTCTAACAAACTGGAGAGATTAATAGAAGAAGGTGCTGGAGAAATAGTGTTAGCAATCACTCATACTGTAGAAAAGTCAAAGCAAACTTTTGAAAATTATCGTACATTGTCAGCGTTGGTCGATGGTGATTACGGCAAGTATCTAGCTGTACCAAAGCGTAGTATTAAACCAAAAGCGAAAAGTCTTCAACCCGATCGCCACAAGGTCACGCTACAGATCAGTATGCCACAGATCAGATTGCCACCACCGCCACTCCCGCCCAGGAGCGAAAAACCTCTCTCCTCAAATTAAATTTAAAAAATATCATGGAAAATCGAGTGACACCACATCTAGGAAAAAACGAAGTTGTGATAATGAGCAAGAAAGCTAGCCTCCCACGCAGACGTTCTGAGGAGTTCGTCACACGTTCCTTTCCCATTGTTCGCGAATATCAACTGGAGATCACATGCAGATTATCGGAGATCCAGTCGGCGCTGTTGAAGTGTCAAAGTGTCGACAAGCCAAACACATACGTACAAGCTCTGTAGAGTGTGATACGTGGCTTTTTGTATATTAATATTTCTCTCTGTAAAGGCTGGATTGGGTGTCATTTGCTCCTAAAGTTGTTGTTTGGGTGATGCAACGGCGGGGTTACCTTGTAACTGAACAAAAGGCAGAATTTTTTCACACTTTATTGTTTTGTAGTAAAGCTGACTTCTGCTCAGCAAATTTAACCTCCGAGGGAAATTTTTTTAATGAGATTGTGAGGGTAGCCTCTAGTGCGAACGTTTGTGAGTTAACTGAGTAGATTGTTCTATAACTGTAAGGTCTTCACCTTTCATGGGACCTTTCTGAACTTTTCTGGAGTTAAGTCAAGCGCGAAATTTCTCAAGGTCCAAAGTGCACTTCCCAGATCTGGAAGTCTGCTGTGACTGGTCTACGTTTTTTCCGCTAAAATCAGCAGACGTTAGTGGGGCAGGAACGCGCGACGAACCCCTAAGAAAGTCTGCGTGGGAGGCTACAAGAATAAGCTATCATGGGACCTCTAGCCCCGACGTTTCTAGGAAACTCAATATTCAAGACGCAGGCTAATGAACAATTATTAAAACCTTCCAGGTTTTTACCTAGAGATGCTCTACTTAAATTCTAATTTAGTGTAATTTTGCCATCAATTATGTATGGTCTTGTTTTGTGGGTCGCGTGCTGTAATTCCGATATTATTAGCTCAGTTGAGAGACTTGATTGTAGGGTCGACAGGATTATTTTTAATTCACGCAAGGATATGGCATCTAGTCAAATATTGAACTTTGCAAATTGGATTACATCGGATTAAGCTATAAAGAGGAAATATTAAAAATTTTTTGTAACGCATATAATGATATCCTAACAGAGTGCCTTTCTAAAAAAAGTATCCTTAAAAAGGCGAAAAAGTTCTTACTCATTACGCGGTCAGGATGTAGCTTTGAGATGCAACAGCAGTTAATGAGAAACTCATTAGCCTTTCGTGGGTCAGTTCTTTGGGACTCAGTTATCTGTAATGACGATAAAATAACTACTCTAAATTTCGGCAAATCAAAAGGAGTTTTTTAAAGACTTCCTCTGCCTCTACATCTCGATACAGGGAGAGTGATTTCGTGTAATTTTTAAAAATTTAATTAATATTTTAAGGTCTTAGATTAACACTTTGTTCTTAGTTCTGTACTTAATCTTTCACATGGATATATTTCAATTAAGGTATTTTAGTTCAGTAGTATACATAACCCCATAAGCTGTTTTTAGCTCTAATTCTTATCTTCTCAAAATAAAGGTTTTATGTTATGTAGTGTTATGTCATGTTATTGCAGTAGGGGCATGTATGGGGGATAGCTTCTCTTAGCTCATGCTTTCATATAACGGTCAACCGTAGTCAAAAATGGGCGACCAAGACAGTCCATTCAAAACATGAATTTTAGTGTAAAGCAGAACTGTCCGCGCCAGATCAGTCGATTCCTCAAATCCGCCCACTTTTTTGATGCAATTTGAATCAAAACTTCAACACTGCATTCTTTTTATCAATGTATACGATTTTTATCCTTTTTATGAATGATTCCTCTTTCATGGATTCTGTTATTTTTTATGAGCATGTCTTGTTATTCGTAATATTACGTACACAACAATCACGGCCACGAAGGCTCATTGTCGATTAGCCTTTTTAGCACAGCCACAAAGATTCTTCTTGCCTTTATTAGTCGGGCTGCATGGCAGCACCGATACTACATCACGAAAGTCGGCCATTGAAGAAAAGATGTCTTGGAAGAGTCACGCTCTATCCCGTCTACTTTAATTGTTTCTGCAAAAGATCTTTGCACGATTAACTTACTAAAAAAAGTAAAAGTTTCCTTTTACCTAAATTTTATCTGAAACAGCGTGAGAAGTGGTTTTTTTTCAGACGGTGGGTTACCTGATCGTGACATAATATATGTATATTTAGCCAAGCCTAAAAGCGGAGCTCCCGATTTCATTACAGTAAATAATGTAATGATAATGATAGTAATGATGATGATAACCCTACATTGTCCAATGTCGCGTACATTGTTTACAAACATTCCCACATTCTCTACCCTTCAGAACGATATAGAAATGTTTTTGAAAACCTTCCAGTAGTATTGGTGAAGACCGGGAACCTCGTAAAAGGACCCTGGTACAAGTGTGGGAAAGGTATCTCATAAAAATCTTTAAACAACTATACAGCACCTTGTTACTAAGAAGTGTTATTTAGTTCGCGGAGTGCTGTTTTCAGGGATAAGTCAGTTAAAAAAACAACAGATTATTTTTACATGTTATACGTGTACGTGATTAAGGAGACGGGGCCTTTTTTGATGGACAAGTTTTCCATTCTCCACCCTTACAAGTCACCTTTTCCACAACTATCCATGAATAAATTATTATCGAAAAACAACAACCAGAAACACTGAAACGAGACAAGAAACATCAGAAACCTCGCTACTGCACCCCAAACCCAATTGAATGTTTTATCTAAGTATGCACTTCTTATATTGCACAACTCCCTTGTATAAACAACTTAAACTAATCTCATAACTCCCTTCTTAAACTATTTAAAATTGACCTCCTCGATCTTTTAAACAGCATATGTTTAATCTTCTATTGGAATAAAAAACTTACAATGATTATATATAACGAAGATTAAAACTGTGATAAATGGCTATATGCGATTAACATTATTAAAGTCTATTTAAAAGGGACTGAACACCTTTTTTGTTAAATCGACTGGAATACCATTCCGTAAGCTATGCATGCTCCATCTATCTCCTGTTTCTATTTTTAACACACAAGATTATGTGGGTCCTTTGTCTTTTTCGTATACAGCTCTGTTTTTGTTGTGAGGATTACCGAATTAATGAGTTATCCCCATTGCTTCTCTTGTATATTAAGTCATCTGCTCCACCTCAAATGAACGAATAGCACTGTAAGCATTATCTTCTTGCTGACTTGACCCTGCTGGTGGAGGTGGTGGTAGATCTCCAACAACTTGACACAACCTTTTCTCTTGTTCTGATATTCGTCTTTGGTTTCGCCGCTGTCTTTTTCTCCTGTCATCCTCTGTTTCCACTTCACCAGGCTTTGCAAACTTATAGTCCACACCAACTGCTCTTGCTCCGGCAATTAGCCGGTCATCTTCCAAGTGGCTACTACTACTGATATTTACTTCTGCAAGAGGATGCTGTGTTCCTTGCGAGTTGCTTGGTCCCTAAATTGGGGCATTTCCTACTACAGGGGTGTCCCTTTCCATCTCTTCTCCTATAGTGAATGAATTATCTGTATTTACAAACTACACAATATAAGCTAATTGGCACTACTGGACTCTTAGCATGCCTGACAGATAAGTCAAGTTGTTTTGGGTATTCAGTTACAGGAGAAGCATTAATAGAATTGTGACTCTTGGGCTAATAGATGCAGGCTACAGCCGGCCTACCTAACTGTGCTTGTGTTACTGATTTCAGAAGCTGATTTCAAAAAGGAAATACACAATATTTACACTTTCCAAACCTCAAACAAAAGAACAAAAAGGATTCCAAAAAGCGCTGGATTCCAATTTTTTACTGTTTTAATGCTTTTCTTTGCATTTCGTTTTCGTGTTCGAATCTTGCTAAATTGCAAGAGGTTGTTACAATGCATAGCAAGTTTGTTTTCCGATTTATAAATTACGGGTTGAATGTATTACAGTTCCGTAAGGGTTTATGGTATAATAAGGAGGGGAACATTAGGGGACCGTCCACACCGCAACATCGCGAAAACTGAAAATAACAAACACCACATCACCGCAAAAAAACGTGGCGAAACACCGACATCGCAATTTTAAATTGTGTCCTTAACTTAATTTAATCCAAATCTCCATATAATTAAGGATTGAGGATCTCGGAGCTGGTTAGCGATTAGTAGAGAGTGAGACTGACCTCAAGACTTTATTTTTTACGTACTTTATTTTTGCGAACTCTATTTTCAGTCGTGCAGATAGAAAAATGCTTAATTTACAGAAACAAAAGAACTCTTGCAAATCATTTCTAAATATATTCACGTTTATTCATTTGATTGCTGCATAATAAAGTATAAATGGGAAAAGGTACGGTCATTGCCAGGGAAAGTTGAGCTGCAATTTGCAAGAAAACGCGGTAAGAAAGTTCGTGTGTAACTCCAAATCAATTTTTCCTATCTATGCCATATCATAAACCAGCGCAGGTTAATCAAGTCTTTTGCTATCCGCTAATAAAATATAACAGAAGGTTCATTTTGCTTGCATGTCGTTACATTCGTAGTTTTCCTTGTCCTATCTGAACGCCTGGAACAGGCTACGTCGAAACATGTTTGTAAATTCTTTTGGAACATTAAAACAGTATATACGAAGTAACAGAATAAATATATTGAACAAAACGTTAAAAGCCGCCAATCGCTAATCGCCTCCAAACTATCATGAAGGTAAGCTTGGTTTCTTAACATGTATTTGGACATTGTTTTTCGTTCTCTTTCCACTCTTTATTGGAATCATTGTCATAGCGCAAAAAACTAAATTCGGTTACCGCTCTTTTGTAAAACTATCATTTATAAAGGCACATGTACAGTAAGCTGTAGAACACGGGCATTAGATATCACTTCTTAACTGAACTGCTTTCACACGTTCTCATATGACACATAAGACA